GACCATGGCCATGAAGTTGGGGAGTAGGTGACTGTGAGGAAGACATGCATGAGGCATGTCAAGCTGAATGGGAGGAAGCAGAAGCCCAGAACTGGGGTCATTTTCCAGGACCTCATCCCACCCCAGGCCTCCAGAGGCTCTGCTGTCAGAGCCGTTTTCAAGATTTAAAAAACTAGGGCACATGCTTGGATTGTCCCATGTTACCAGCTAATGAGGAGCAGAGCCTGGATTCACACTAGGCTTTTCTGACCTCCAAGTTCTCCTTCCCATTACACTGGGGGAAGTCCTTCACTTAACACAACGTCATGGCTTGTGCCATGTGTCTCCTGGTGGGGACCCAGGAACCTCCCCTGCAGCATCCTAGCACCTGGCCCAGGGCCTGGCCCTAATTGGAAGCACAATGAATGTTTGTTGACTGAATAAATGAATGACACGTTCCAAGCAGAGCCAGTTGCAAGTTCTCCTTGGAAAGGAGGTGGATGAAAAGTGAACCCACAGAGGCTGTTGAGGTCTCTTCCTGCACCCTCAGCCCTGCTCCTCTACCCACAGTCTGGCCTCCAACTCTGTTCCTCAGCCCCCAGCTTCCCAGAGGGGCTTTGGATCTCACAGTCTGCCCCTGGCATCCTTCTCAAAGGTCAAGGACACCAGGGATGAGAGGCCCCCAGACCTGTAGATGCTCAGGACCAAGGGTTGAGCAGAATAAGGTCCCTGTTCTCAGGGAGCTCCTGAACTATTGGGCAAGAGAGGCCCAAAACGTGTAGTGACACAAATGACAAGAATTCCCTACAAGGGATGGAGCATGGAGGAGCTGTGGGGACAGGGAGGAGGAGCCCTCCATGGACTGCGCATGGGTGGGGAGGTCAGGGAAGCTTCATTTCTAAGCTGGGGACTAAGAGCTGAGCAGGAGTTGGCCAGATAAATAGGTAAGAAAGGGGTAGAGGAAGAATATGTTGGAAGATCCAGAGGAAGGAGATCTTGTAGAACACCCAGAGACAGGAAAGAAGGTCTGGCAAGGGCTGGAGAGGTGGGGTCTCTAACACACAGCCATGGAGATCATGTCCAGATCTCAGACGGCGGGGAGCTGCCTTTGTCTGCTCCGGATGCCACAAAAAAATACCACAGACTTAGTAACTAAATAATAGACATTGATGTCTCACTCTTCTGGAGGCCAGAAGTCCAAGATCAAGGTGCCAGCAGATTCAGCTTCTGGTGAGGGCTCTCTTCCTGGCTTGTAGACAGCTGCCTTCTCACTGTGTCCTCACATGGCCTTTTCTTTGTGTGTGTGCTCACAGGGTGGAAGAGGAGAGTGAGCTCTGCAGTGTCTCCTCTTATAAGGACACGAATCCCAGGGGATCAGGGTCCCACTCTTATGACCTCATTTAACCTTAATTATTTCCTAAAGACCCTTTTCCCAAACACAGTTGCAATGGGACTTAAAGCTGCAACATGTCATTCTGGGAGGACAAAATTCAATCCACAGCAGGGGCCATGGAAGGTGCTAGGGTCAGATGGGCCTTTGGGGTGCTCTCTCTGGCCTCAGAGGGGAGGATGGGCCGGAGCAGGCAGGACTGGAAGCTGTTTGAATGGCTGCTGTAGTCCAGAGGTGAGACGTGCCACTGGACCAGAGGCAAGGCATTTGGGAGGGAGTAGGGGGAGCTGCTCAATAAGCTTGGATCTGCAGGACTCAGTGTGAAAGGAGGGCTGAGGGAGGGGGAGAGGTCAAGGATGACTGCCAGATTCCTAGCTTGAGTAACAGGGGGATGCAGGGACAGTTCCATGGGCATGTGACCTGCATGGTCTCACACACCAAAGGGCCCAGCGTTTGTTTAATGTTCTGCTGTTGCTGTCTTGAATTATTAACAATTTTTAAATTGTTTAACAAGAGGCCCTGCATTTTGATTTTGCACTGGGCCCCACAAATTCTTGAGCCAGTCTGCGTGGATGGGGGTCTGTGAACCTCTCTCCTCCTCCGCAGATCACTGGACTGGATCAGGGAGGGAGCTGGCCTCTCTGTGACCTCTCTCTCTTGAGATGGTTACTTGATACCAGGCTTATTTCTGCCAAAACCAAAACAAGGACAACAACAAAAAAACCCTCTTAATTAACACCCTCAGCACCACTAGCAGTTAAGGGCAAGGGCTTTAGAGTCTCTGAGAAGAGAGCAAATCAGGTGCTGAATTTATTGCCTTCGGAAATTTTTAAGACTCCGTTGCCTTATCTATGGGGGCACCGTGTACTTTATTGATTAGCTCAGTACACTTCTGAGAATAGAAGGGGGAAAGTGGGAATAAAATACTCACTATGCTGGGACAATAGGTGCCAATCGGGTCTATCCCATCCAAATTGGGACACATAATCCCCTACTTCTCTGTAAAACAGGATTCAGTAGAACCATGCACAGAAAGCAGGGGGCCCAAAGTAAGTGCTCAGTAAGCAGCACCTATCATTATTTCTTTTACTTTAATTTGTATTTTTTTTGAGATGGAGTCTCACTCTGTTGCCCAGACTGGAGTGCAGTGGCACGATCTCAGCTCACTGCAACCTCTGCCTCCTGGGTTCGAGCAATTCTCCTGCCTCAGCCTCCTGAGTAGCTGGGACTACAGGCACGTGCCACCACACTCGGCTAATTTTTTGTGGTTTTTTGTAGAGACGGGGTTTCACCATGTTGCCCAGGCTGATCTCGAACTCCTGACCTCAGGTGATCCACCAGCCTTGGCCTCCCAAAGTGCTGGGATTACAGGCGTGAGCCACCACGCCGGGACTTCTTTGTATTTATTTATTTATTTTTTGAGATAGAGTCTCGCTCTGTCACCTACACTGGAGTGCAGTGGCGTGATCTCTGCTCACTGCAACTTCAGCTTCCCAGGTTCAAGAGATTCTCTTGCATCAGCCTCCTAAGTAGCTGGGCACAGGCACATGCCACCACATCGGGCTAATTTCTGTGTTTTTAATAGAGATGAGGTTTCATCATGTTGGCCAGGCTGGTCTCGAACTCGTGACCTCAAGTGATCCACCTGCCTCGGCCTCCCAAAGTGCTGGGATTACAGGCATTAGCCACCATGCCTGGCCACCTTATCATTATTTATTTATTTATTGGATGGAGTTTTGCTCATTGTCCAGGCTGGAGTGCAATGGCATGATCTCAGCTCACTGCAACCTCTGCCTCCCAGATTCAAGTGATTCTCCTGCTCAGCCTCCCGAGTAGCTGGGATTACAGGCATGCGCCACCATGCCTGGCTAATTTTTGTATTTTCAGTAGAGATAGGGCTTCACTGGCCAGGCTGGTCTTGAACTCCTGACCTCAAGTGATCCACCTGCCTTGGCCTCCTGAAGTGCTGGGATTACAGGCATGAGCCACCACGCCCGGCCATCCTATCATTATTTCTACACTCTGCAGTCACTCTCAACTGGTGTCTAAATATCATTCACTTGTCAATCAGTTACTCACTACCCACCATGTATCAGGCACACAGCACTGGTGCTCCTGATGTGAAGATGTACTGATAATTCATCTATTCAGCCCACATTTTGTGAGCAGCTCATATCTGCCAGGCTAGGTTCTGAGGCTAGGCTCGTTCTGGGGATCCAAAGATGAGTGACACCACTTGTCCTCCTGGGGCTTGAAATCTTGTAGGGTATGGTGAGTGGAAGCGTGTCTCCCAAAAATGCATGTCCACCTAGAACTTCAGAATATGACCTTACTTGAAAACAGGGTCTTTGCAGATGTAATTAAGATAAGGATCAAAATAAAATCATGCTGGATTAGGGTGGGCCTGAAATCCAATGAGAGTATCTTGATAAGAGACAAAAGAGTACACAGATTCACAGAGGAAAAGGCCTTGTGAAGACAGAAGCAGAGACTGGAGGGTAGGGGCACTCCACAAAATGCCAAGGATTTTGCCAGCAGCCACCAAAAGTTAGAAATGCATGGAATGGATCCTCCCTTAGGCCCTCCATCACCCAGGCTGGAGTACAATGGTGTGATCTCAGCGCATTGCAACCTCCACCTCCTGGACTCAAGCAATCCTCCTGCCTCAGCCCCTCAAGTAGTTGGGACTACAGGCTGGCTATTTTTTTTTTTTTTTTATAGAGATGGTGTTTCACCATGTTGCCCAGGCTGGTCTCAAACTCCTGGGCTCAAGCAATCCTCCCACCTCAGCCTCCCAAAGTGCCGGGATTATAGGTACAAGCCACTGTGCCCAGCCCACCTTGATTTCAGACTTCTGGCAGAACCATGAGATAATAAGTTTCTGTTGCTTTCAGCTACCAAGGCTGTAGCAATTTGTTACAGCAGCCCTAAGAAAATAATCCATAGAGGACACAGATGACACCCACATTGATAACTAAAAGAATGATTATCCGATAGCTACCTCCAGGGAGAGGTAGTGATGAGGAGGCGTCACAAGGAGGCTTCTGGGGAGCTGGTTATGTTCACTTCTTGACCTAGGGGCAGGTTATGCAGATGGGTTCATTTTGTGAAGGTGTATTGAGCTGTACACGGGATTTGTGTGTTTTTGTGTTTGTTATACTTCAGGAAAAACTTAAAAAGATAAACTGCACAGGCCGGGTCCTAGCACTTTGGGAGGCTGAGGCAGGAGGATCACCTGAAGTCAGGAGTTCGAGATCAGCCTGGCCAACATGGTGAAACCCCGTCTCTACTAAAAATACAAAAATTAGCCAGGCGTGGTGGTGCACACCTATAATCCCAGCTACTCAGAGCCTGAGACAGGAGAATTGCTTGAACCCAGGAGGTGAAAGTTGCGGTGAGCCGAGATCATGCCACTGCACTCCAGCCTGGGCGACTGAGTGAGACTCCATCCCCCAAAAATAATAAAACAAAATAAAATTTAAAAAGATAAATTGCATAGGTAGATGTATAATTATAGATTGTGTTAAGTGTTTTGAAACAAAACTCATAGGTTATAGGAGACAGTATTTTTTAATCAGCTAGGACTGCTATAACAAAATACCACAAACTGGGAGGCTTAAACAACATACATTTATTTCTTACAGTTGTGGAGGCTGGGAAGTCCAAGATTAAGGTGCCAGCAGATTCCTGGTGAGGGCTCTCTCCCTGGGCTTGCAGACAGCCACCTTCTTGCTGGGTCCTCACATGGTGGAAAGAGAGTGATCTGTTCTCTTCTTCTTACAAAGCCACCCTTCTCTGTTTATAGTTTTATAACATTGGTAATCAGTGATGGTAGCCATCTGTCATTTATTGAACACCTATGTTCCCGAAACTTTACTATGAAATAGGTACTATTGTTGTCCCTCATTCCAGACGAGGAGGCTGGGGCTCACTTGCCTGTTTCTGGTAGATGAAGAATCTGTCTCATACCCTCTGACCCCACTGTCACTGTCTCTGAGCCAGCCATGCCTCAGGATCAGGCCTGGGCTGCAGGTGGAGGGCATTGGGGAGCTTTCTATTTCCCTTACTACTGGTCCCAGTGATGTGGAGGATGACAGCCTGGAGGGAGGTGTCTGGGGCAGCATCTGGCCAGGCGCCTGGTGGGGCGGTTTGCACAACTGCCTGGAATGAGCTGCTTAGCCTCCCCACTTTCCTGAGAACCCAGGGCAAGGGGGGTGTCTGGGAGGGAGGAGGACAAAGAGACCCAGTCACCTGGGTCACCACCTGGAGTGGCAGTTGGGGAGGAAGTGGGACATGCTGGCTGCCTTCTCCAGCCCTGGTCTCTTTCCTTCCCATCCCCTGGGCCTGACTTCAGTGCCCACCTCTAGGAGGGAGAGTCACAGAACCAGACTCACCTGCCTCTGAGCAACTGTGGAGGCGACAGCCAGGTCTTAACGGCCTCTCTGGGGTCAGCTGAGGCCTGCCACGGGCACCTCCCCTCACAGCTGGACTGCTGTTCAGAATGTTGCAGCTGCAAGACATTGGAGAAACAAGGAGGCTGAGCAAGGAGCTGGTGCCAGGGGAGATCAGGGAGGAAGGGAATCAGGGCACCTTCTGGTCTCCCCAGTTCCTGAAAATCTATTGTCAGGCTCTTCTTCCCCAAACTGCGTTTAAGAGAAGCCAGCCCCCTACCACAGGCTGTGCATTGCTCTGAACAACTCCAGGAGGTACCATCACATAGGTAACCACTCGTGGTTTTGTGGTTCTCTGCTGCCACCCATGCCAGCCCTGCTTGGGTCCCATCCCCTCATCCCCTCACTCACAAACCTGGTTTACCCAGCCCGACACCCAAACCCATGCTTCACTGATTCATTCTTTCCTTTAATATGTTTGTTAAGTGCCAGAACCATCCACAGGGCTTTAAGTTCTAGAGACACAGTAGGGTCAAGGCAGTCACCTCAGCTTTTGCAGTCTGGTGGGAAGCTTGGAGAGAAGAATATTAAGCAGACACAATGAAAGCTGGCTTGATAAAACGCCAATTAACCCCCTTGGGAATTCACCAGCAGTCTCCGTTCTCTCAATAAAACCCACAGCCTGGAACTCAGGAGACAACGAATTTTCAGAGCCAGGGTTTCCCTCTGCAACCTGCCCCTGCACATGTGGTTTTATCTAAAGTCCTGGCATGTGCCTACTACCAGCTCCAACTGGGTCAGAACGCAGGGCTTCTACCGGGTAAATACAAATATTTAACCACTTACACTTATGATGGGTCCTTGGCAGGAGAAGCATTGCAAGTGTGTAACATGGGAATTCGACCCCATTTTAGCAATCCAGGAGGGCTCCCCAGGAGAGGTGACTTTTAAGATGTGCTCGGAAGGATGACTCAAAGTTGACCCAGACTTCCTGGGGGAGAGAAGAAGCCTTCCTGGCCCCTCAACAACACAGATTGCTCAGCCACAGTCAGACAACCCATGCCACCAGGGTGTCACCAAGATTTGACAACTGAGACTCTCAGACACTCTCCCTCCCTGGCACACATACACACTCATACACACTCATACACACTCATACACACTCATACACGCTCATACACACGATGGCAGCCATGGACGGCCCGGCAGCCGGATGCCTTTGTTCCCCACTTCCAGCCTGATGGCCGCCCCAATAGTCAGTCCTTTGCTCCTTCACTCTGCTTCCCATCAGTCCCCTCCTTCTGGGAGTCACAACTCCCTGGGTTGTGACTCTGACTTCATATTCACTGGCCATGTGACCCTGGGCACATCACTCAAGCTCCCAGATACTGCTCCTCCACTGTCACTGAGGGTCATGATCCTCCCCGCCTCTCAGCACCACAGAGAAGGTTAAGGCTCCTAATTCCCAAAAAGCACCTTTGCAGCACTTGTCCCTTCACAGTGGCAGCTCTGCTTAGCACAGTTGCTGTCACAGTCATTCGCTGTGGCCTTGCTCTGGCCCCAACCCCATGCCCCTCCTTCTCTCAGCCTACTGTCCCCGCACTTCTGCCTGGGCCTCCTCTCTCTCTCCTCTCCCTCCTTGCAGAGCCTGAGACCCAGAATTCCTGAAGGGCTGGGGACAGGGAAGGGGCAGCCAGCTCCCAAACAGAAATGTCACCTGCTTGGAGTCCCCAGTGGAGGGTTGGGGTGGAAGCTTTCTGCTCAGCCTTGACAACCCTGCCCTAACTCCCCACAGAGCCTGATACAGGCTCAAACCTGCATCAGGTCAAACCCTACCCCAGAGACAGAGCTGGGTAGGTCAGGCCGCTACCTGAACCTGTGTCGCCATCTACAAGCCAGCCAGGGAGGGGACTGGCCTCGCTCCCTCAGGGGGTGCAGATGCTCTGGGACCTAAGTCCACACTGAGGACAGCGGGAGGTGGAGAGCACCTCATGGAGTGGGGTTTGAATCCCAGGGCCTCCTCTACTCCTCTGGATCATCTTTGAGAAGTTGTCTCTCCTCGCCAAGCCTTGGCCTCCTCACTGGTAAGATAAGGCTGGACAATTCCTGCCTACCACCCACTCAGGGTTGTTGGGAGAAACAGAATTGAGAAGAGGGCGGAAGGGAATCCTGTCAAGCCTGGGAACCAACGCCTTTCCGTCGCCGGTTGAGCTCTACATTTTGACCAGCAGATGGCGCCATAGAAGCGCCAGTGTCTCAGCTCCAGGCCCGGGACGTTTGTTAAACGCGGCGAAACTGTTACTCAAGATCCCAAACTCTGGAGCGGATGGATCTCAGATTCTACACCCTCAAACCGCGCGTGGTGGCTCATACCTGTAATCCCAGCACTTTGGGAAGCCGAGGTGGGTGGATCACGAGGTCAGGAGTTCGAGACCAGCGTGGCCAACATGGTGAAACCCAGTCTCTACTAAAAATACAAAAATTAGCCCGGCGTGGTGGCGGGCACCTGTAATCTCAGCTACTCAGGAGACTGAGACACGAGAATCGCTTGAACCCGGGAAGCAGAGGTTGCAGTGAACCGAGATTGTGCCATTGCACTCCAGCCTGGGCAACAATGCGAGACTCCATATCAAAAAAAAAAAAAGATTACACCTTCTTAATAGCAATGTGACTGGGTAAACTGCTTAACCTCTCTGAACCTCAGTTTCCTCATCTGGCATCCCTTCTTCTGGGGTTGTTGGAGGATTGATTTGCTCCAAGATGCAGACTGCAGCGTCAGTGCTCAGTGACATGACTGGTACAACCCACTAAAGAGCGAGGCTGCAGCTCCATCTTCCATCCCTGCTAAGAGCCCCTGGCTTCAGCCACACCCCATGCCCACTCCAGCCAGGTCCCCAGGTTTCACTCACGCCCTCTGCCCTCTGACTGGAATGTTTTCTCCCTCCTTGTTTCACGATTTCCTAGGAACTTTGAGACTTCTTGGGTTTTTCCTAATTGTATTTTTAAAACTTCATCCAGGTGTTATTTATAGATCATACAATTCACTCACTTTAAGGGTACAAGTCAACGATTTTCAGTAAGTTTATCAAGTTGTGCTCAAGATTTGATTTTCAAAATCCTGCATCTCAAATTCTACCTCTTTTCTGAGTCCCAGACCATGTGTTTAGCTGCCCCTTGGCTGTTGTCCCTTGGCTGTCCCCTGCCCCGCCAACTCGGTACATCCCCAGCCAGATCCATAACTGTCCTCCCTTCTTTTCTCCTCTCCCAGGTTTTCCATATCCCTTCTTGGCCAGCAATCCCATCCTTTTTCTCTATGATCTTAGCACTTTGTTCGAGACCTGGCACATAGTAGGTGCTCAACAAAGGTTTGCTAAGTGGGCTAGGCACATGGCTTACACCTGTAATCTCAACACTTTGGGAGGCTGAGGCAGGCAGATCACTTGAGGTCAGGTGTTCGAGACCAGCCTGGCCAACATGGTGAAACTCCATCTCTACCAAAAAATATAAAAATTGGCCGGGCGTGGTGGCTCACGCCTGTAATCCCAGCACTTTGGGAGGCCGAGGCGGGCAGAGCACGAGGTCAAGAGATTGAGACCATTCTGGCCAAAAGGGTGAAACCCCATCTCTACTAAAAGTACAAAAATTAGCTGGGCATGGTGGCACTCACCTGTAGTCCCAGCTACTTGGGAGGCTGAGGCAAGAGAATTGCTTGAACCCAGGAGATGGAGGTTGTAGTGAGCTGAGATCGCGCCACTGCACTCCAGCCTGGCGACAGAGCAAGAACTCCATCTCAAAGAAAAAAAAAATACAAAATTAGCTGGGCATGGTGGTGCGCGCCTGTCATCCCAGCTACTTGGGAGGCTGAAGCAGGAGAATCGCTTGAACCCAGGAGGTGGAGGTTGCAGTGAGCCGAGATGGAGCCACTGCTCTCCAGCCTGGGCGACAGAGCAAGACTCCGTCTCAAAAAAAAAAAAAGTTTGCTGAGTGAATGAATAAAAGCAATGTGACCCTTTACCCACGTTTGATTGTTCACCCCTCACCTCCCACCACCCAGTCACCTGTTAGATCTTCCTTGGAACTGTCTGCCTGGTGTTCACCCTTCCCAGAGCCCTGCTGCCCTGGCCTCATACCCACGCCCTGCCTCACTGTCTCTCCTCTGTTGTTTTTTACTTCCTCTCTGCCCCATCCCAGAGTGACTTCTCAGAAAAGCACACGTGATCCCACCACCTTCTCCCTAAGAATGTGCTACCCACTCATCTGCAATGATGTCAACACCCCCAAATCTAACACCAGCAGCCTCCCGGGATTTGGTCCCAGCCCATCTCTTAGCCTCAGACTCAACCCTCTCCTTCCCCTCTCCAACTCTCTCAGGTTCTAATCATCCCAAACCACAAGAGCCATGATTAAAAGGCAGGATAGGGTCAGGCTTCCTGGAGTCCACATCCCAGTGGCAGCGCCTCTCTGAGCCTCAGCTTCCTCGTCTGTAAAATGAGAGTGATAATACCACTGACCTTGTAGAGTTGTTGGGAGGATTAAACGAGGTGATGAAGGTAAAGCACTTAGAAAGGGCTTGGTACACGGTCCATACTCAATGTTAGTTTCATTTCACTGACAATTCCCAGCTGAATTTCTGCTCGCCAGGGATAGACTGTCTTTCTCCTTTCTGTCCACCAGGGGTGCTGCAACCTATTTCACCATGCCGGGGAGATTCGCTCCATCTGGGAGGCCTTCCCCAGGTCAGCTTTAGCCAGCCCTTCCTGGGTCACAGAGCTTACCCACTGGGACCTCTCTTGCCACCTCTCCCAGGGCCAATCCAACCCCACGTCTTGCCCCACTTACCTCCCAAGCAGCCCTCAAATTTCTCCCCTTCTCTCAATCCCCTGCTGTCTCCCTGGCACAGGCTGCCATCATGCTCATTATGCACCCACTCTCCCCTTCTCTCCGCCCCATTGCTGCCTCCCTGGCACCAGCTGTCATTGTGCGCATGCCTCGCCCACTCTGCCCCTCCAGTGTCCCATCCAGAATGGACAGCTGTCCTCACTGTCCTTCCCTGAAGCCTTCACTGGCTCCTAAGTATGGTCCACTAGAGCCTCAGCTGCATGACGCACCCCTTCCTTCTGCCAGCCGGGTTCCAGCCACACTGGCCTCACAAGCACCCTGCCCTCTCCCAGCTCAGGGCCTTGGCACAAGCTGTTTCTGCCTCCTGGACCCTCTTTCCTCACCCTATCAGTCCTTATTCAACTCCTTCAGATGCTGACCTCCCCGGAGATGCCGTCTCTGACCCTCCCACCACCAAGTACATCAAGGTCCCCCGTGATGTCTTCATAGCACTCTGTACTTCCTCTCCTTAACTCTTATCACCGTTTATAATTATGTATTTGAGTGGCTATTTGAGGAATATCTGCCTCCCCACTTCCTTTAAAAGCTTCCTGAGAGCAAGGCTGTGGATGTCTTTCATTATGTCCCCAGAGGGCTGGCATATGCCAGAGGAATGAATGAATAAAAAGGGGCTATTCCCTTATGTGTCTTTCTCCCATGTCAGGTCCCGAAGGGCAAGGCCATGACCCAGGCCTGTATTCCCAGACTGATCCCCTACCCCACCTTGGCCTGGAACTTCAGTGAGAATCAACAAATGCTGTATGGATGAATGATAACACCCTTCTCCTGGTTTCCTTAAGGTTGATATTTTAACTACTCTTAAACTGTGATGTGTTGTGATACAATTTATTTATTTATTTTTGAGACGGAGTCTCGCTCTGTTGCCCAGGCTGGAGTGCAGTGGTACAATCTTGGCTCGATGCCACCTCCGCTTCCCAGGTTGAAGCAATTCTCAGCGTCCAGAGTAGCTGGGACTACAGGTGCGTGCCACCACGCCCGGCTAATTTTTTATATTTTTAATAGAGACGGGGTTTCACCATGTTAGCCAGGATGGTCTCAATCTCCTGACCTTGTGGTCTGCCTGCCTTGGCCTCCCAAAGTGCTGGGATTACAGGCGTGAGCCACCACGCCTGGCCGATAAAATATTATTAATAATAATTTCTACATGGGCATTGGAACTGGCTGTCACGACCCACTTATTCTCCCAGGAAAGCATATTCTTTAATCACGAATATCTCTGCAGCCCTCTGTAATTCACTTTCCCAGCCCTGATTGACCCTATGGGATTGGCAAGACAGTGTCACTATTTTCCTGCTTTTACAGAAGAGAAAAATAGAGATTTAGGAAAATTAAGGGGCATGCCCACAGGTGGCTGAGCTGGCCTTCTGTGTCCCAGCCCTGTGAGTTGCC